TACGATTCAAATCTCTTCAATTTTTAGCTAAATCTTGCGCAATACCTGAACATTTTGAGTATTCATTAGTATAAAAATTTCATTCACTGCAAAGGGAATAAGCTCGTTTTTTAATGCGCAGAACATTACCACTGAATAAAAAAGATTTTACGGAAAGTGTACCAAAATCCTAAAAAAGGCAAATTTTTTGGAAAAAAAAAAAAAAAAATGTAGTTTTTTTTTGTTGGACAAACTTGTTTTTTACAGTTTTAAAATTCCATTATCTACCTTTCTATTCATCAAATTCTCATTAATAATACATTTATGTAATAAACGAAATGCATTTATTCTTTAACAGCAAAATAAATATTTGAAGAAAAAAGATAAATAACTAAAATTTGAAACGTTTTAGGGTCTTAGTTACCTTAACATATTCTACATCAAATGAATTCTAGTAATATGAATCTAACAACGAGAACTGATTTGTATAAAGAGTATCGGCCAGCCTTTAAGAATCCAAACCTTTTTGACTATCTATCGTATTCATCTTTTCCCCGAATAGCAGCACCCTTTTCTTCCGCGCTCAAAATGCCCCCAGGGATGACTTAACTCTTCTTTTTTAAATGGAACTACTCACGGAGCTTGACCTCTGGACCCCCAATGCTCCAGAATTCACTCTTTGTTCATTCGAGAGGAACTTGTAACCCAAGAAAGCGAATCATTTCTCTTTTTTTAAATCTTGTTCTTCTAGGAGAAAAACTATTACTCTTTTCCTCCGAGTTGTGCTTTTGTTGGAATACAATACAGCTCTTTGTCAGTTATAAGTTTCTGAAGATTAATTTGCTCTCTTACGCCGTAATGAGTTAATTTAAGTGGAATGAGTTCAATGAGCACGATTTTCTTTTTAAATCTTTTTATTTGAAAAAAAAAAATTTTTTTTTCTTCTTTTTCTTGTGATGTCTTATTGGCTGCTCCTTATTATTTTGTCATACATCAGTTGGTACAAAAGTACATTCGAAAATTTTTTGAGAAGGCGCTTTTTGTGCAATTCGTCTTTTCAAGGAAATGGTCGATAGAATAACTCGGTTTTTTTTTATAAATATCTCTTTTTTTTTTGTTTATCAAGTAATAAGAATTTTTTTTGTCTGTAAAATACAAAAGCTGATCTGAATGTAATTATTATTTTTTACATTATGATGTTCTGCAGTAATTACCATTAATTACACTCTAAATAATTAGCTAGAAAATAATTCATTAGAATAATAAGAATCACGTTATATACAAATCATATTTATCTAAAGAGAAATATGAGTTATACACAAAGTGGTTTTGTGTTCATTACCATTAATTGCACTCCACGTAATTAATTCTACAAGGTAACTCATTACATCAATAAAGCAAGAAGTCAAAGTCTTATCAATGTAAATAATTTTCTAACCGAACAGAATAAGTTGTTTTTCAATAAAACCGTTTAAACCGCAACATCTTTGAGATTGAATAATTAACTTTAAAATAATAATAATAATTTTGTATGTACATAAAAGAAAGGGGAAAATGAAAACTACATAATACGAATTCAATGCTTTCTCTTGAAAATGATTTTCAGTTTTTACTCTGTCCATGTAATTAACGCTATTTTTTAGTATGAAATTTAGATTTATCTAAATTCTTAAAGAGCTGTTGAATTTGATTTTATATTTTTTTCAGAAATAATATATACGAATACTTCATATAAAAATCATATAAGCAAATATTTAAAAAAAAAAAACATTTTCATAGTTTATTTTAAATTTGAGAGAAGTTTTTAAGAAAAGAGCGCATCTGAATTTTACATGAAATGACGTGAATGTTAAAAAATGTTATTAATAGTCACGTAAATATTAATCCATTTGTATCGTTATCACATTCATATTTATTCTTCGTCTTTTAAAATATTTTAAATTTATTACTACTCAAAAAGTTACACACACACACACACACACACACACATATATATATATAAAGATAAAGAATTCTTTAACACCTAAATAAATTTAAAAGGTGGAGCTAGAATATAATTTCTTACTTCCTCATTTATAAATAATGCCATTCTAACAGCATAGAATCACTCTGCTTCGTTCCAGAATCGAATTCCAATCATATAATTCTTCTGTTCTAGCTTTGAGAAAAGATGTTGTCCTTTTATACATTATTTAATTGAATTTAACAAGCTATTTGCCATTTTTATCTTATTATATCTTTATATCTTAGTTAACTGACACCATTATCAAAATATTACATAATATTGAAATGTATTTAATATACAAAAGAAGACAATAATGTTCATGATTTTTCAAATATAGTATATTTTTCTTAATCAGGATGCTTGATGCTCATTTATTAAGATAAAAAAAAAACTGTAATTTTTATTTCAATTTTATTGTCGATTAAAAGTCATTGATATAATATTTAAAACGCTTAAGTTTATTGAGTTTTTGTGTATTACCAATTTGTTAATTGTTAATTAATTATTTAAATAATAAAAATTTAAGAAAAATTGAACATTAAAGAACAAATTTAAAAAAAATAATTAAAATTAAATAACTATATGATTGAAAAACTACATATTTAAACATATTTATAATAAAACAATGAAAAATAAATATCCTTAAAAAAATTTATAACAGCTCAAATTAGAATATATATTTTTAAATATTTTCCGCAATATTTTTTATTCTTCTATTCCTGAGATAACGTCCAGAGAAATATTTTCAATTCATATTGTTTTCTACAGTCATAAAAATTCCTCTGTGTATAAAAATATTTTCTCCTATCATGCCTTCACTTTCAAAACATCTATTAAAAATATTTCGCTTTACATCTGACGAAGTATAATAACAGCTAGAAAATAAAATACTTCACAGAAAATAAACCAATATAGAAATCAATATTTACTATTATGAATTTTTATTTTCATAATTAGTGATTTAACAGAATCTTTATTTATTGAATTTATGACACATCAATCTTTCGAAGAGTGGTTCTTAAACTTTTTGTCTTGTCACTCCACTCACCCGCTTAAAAATTTCAACCGAACACCATTCTTCTTCCTAAATAATTTTTTTTTATACACGAAAAAAAAAACTATGTTGTTAAATTTCGAACTTATTTTAAATTTAAAAAATTAATTTAAATTCTAATTTATTTATTTTTAAATAAGAATTTCTTTTGTCTAATTAAAACGAAGTTTTCAAAGTATTTACTATTAACAGTTATACTTTTGTGTTTCAACTATACATTTTATAACAAAAATTAATTTAACCAAACTTTTTAGAATTTTTGAATAAAACTTTTAGTTGAAATAATAAGATATCCCTAATGAAATGTACAATTGAAATAATAAATATACAATTATACACAAAAAAAATGAAAGGAAGTATTTTTAGAATTTATTCTAAGAATACAAAAATTAATGAAAGATAATTATTTTAATGAGGCAGATGTGCTTGTTTTTTGCTGCAAAACGAATTAAATCTTGGCGTAATATTTGACACTGTTGGTCTCTGTTATTACGATTTAAAATTGAGTTGCAAAGAAAATGTAATATATTAAAGATAATGAACAGATTGCGACTGATGTTTCTTTAAATTCTTGTATCTACATTAAATTTTCGTGACCCTATTTGAGACCACCATCTTCAGTTTAAGAAGAGCTGCTTTAGTATACAACGAGCGCAAGCTATTTTTGAATTGTCTAATTTGTATCTTACTTTTTGGTCATATGAGTAGAATCTAAGACGAATAAAATCATATCAATAAAAAATTTTGTTGGATCTCTTCTGGTCTTAACCTTAGCAAACCGATCCAATTATAGTTGAAGATAAATTATCTTACCGATGCCTCTCAGTCGAAATCGTCTGACATTCCTTTAATATTACCAGTAGTCAATAGTTGTCTCTCTTACTCCAGATAGTAACATTCGTTACTCTCTTTTTCGCTTCTAAATTTCTCTTTATTTATACATCATAAAATCTGAATCACTTCACTTTATTTCAATCTACATCTAATTTATATAATCATGTTTCATTTTGGTTGGGAAGAAATTGTTATTTTATGTAATCAATCTCGATAAAAGTCCCCGAGGTTAGTGAAGTGGAAATCGCGAATATAACGTCTCACTATTTTATTCCATACATCATTATCCTTTTAACACGAAACAATTGCTTAACACACAAAAAATTATTTCAGATCCATTTATTTTCTGTTAGACCGAGACCGGATAAAATAAACAATGGCTGTTGCTGTTGCTAGGTTGCCATTTGTCATTGGGCAGGTTGAAGTATTGCCATTGTGAAAAAAATTCAAATTAATATATAGCTTTCGAATTCAATGATAGCTATATCAAAGTCGATGAACTCTGCGTTGAAATTAGTGAATTATTTGAAGCATAAATCGTGAATCTAATATGATTGTTCCACAAATGAAATGAAGTAAAGCACATTTTCAGAAAATCATTTTTATATTGGAAAAATAGTGAATCAATCACATTTACAGAAGATAAAAGTGTCTAGATTTTGCAAAGAATATTTGCAAAGCCCCCTCCTTCTACTTCTTTTTATACATTCATAAGTGTCAGATTTCAAAAAAGGAAATGATTTTTCAAAATACGTGGATGAAACAAAATAATGTTATGGAAATTTGTAGATCACAAGGAAAATTTCGGTTATCCGTAGATTCGAATTAAAGGAATCGGACTTAATGAGGCTCCACTCTATACATATACATAAAGAAATATCTATTTAATGGGTTTCCTTTTACTCACATTGTAACTATGTCTGTGTCAAAACTTTAAGAGCTTTTTTCTCACATTTTAAAACACTCAATTGAGCTGAAATTTTCTGTACACGATTGTTTCGGATGAAAATATGACAATTTAATTATATTCAATAAATATTAATTGATTAAAACGAATTATTTAAAGAATTAAATTTTTCTCATAATTCCAATTGCTTACAACATGAAACAATTGAATATCGAAATAGTTGAAGTATATCTCAGTGTAGAGAGTTCGCTTTGCCCGTGAAAGGCTCTGGGTTCGATCCCCAGTTTTTTCAAAGGCGATTGCTTCCTTCCGTAATGGGTTTTCTTCTACTCACATTGTGACTATGTCTGGGTCAACATTTTTCTCACGTTTTATAGCGCTCAATTGATCTGAAATTTTCTAAACACGATTGTTTTGGATGACAATACGATAATTTAACTATAGTTAATAAAAATTGATTTATTAAAACTAATTATTTAAAGAATTAAATTTTACTCATGATTCCAGTTGCTTACAACTTGAAACAGTTGAATATTGAAACCAGCAAATTAAACCATCCCCTCGTAATATTTTAAAGTATAAAAAAATTAGGTTATACGTAAAGAGTGAAGTTTGAAAGATACCCCATGTTTAAAAAACTCGTTTTTTACCGGTGTTATTCCTCTACATTTCGAGTTAAAAGCTTACCATTACAATAAAAGACCTTACTTTTCGGAACAAATATTACATCCGTTATCAACTGAAATCGACAAATTCAATAAAAAGTAACCAATATAGATTATAAATGAAAACGCCCCTAGGAAACTAGAGAGATGGGAAAAGAAGTGATTAAACACTAACACACCTCCAACAACAAAAAAATAACAAAAGAAAATTACTTAATTTCCTCCCAAAAATTTTAATTAATTCCCTGCCTATCATGACCTATATTTCAAACCTATTCCCTGAAAACAAAATCAATAAAATTTTCTTACATATATCATATTCTCTGTACAAGATACCAAGAGAAATTCGATCGTGCCCACTAGTTAGCTGTTTAGACCAATTGAAACAACCCTTCCTTTTAAAACACCGGAAGATGGAATCGTGACTTTTTATAAGTGCCGATATTGGCTTTTGATAAACCTTCGATCAACCGTTTGGGTGGTAAATAATATCTCTAATTGAGTAGCCGGGGTTGATTTGATAGCCATCTAACCTCTTTTATCTGCAGAGGTGTGCCCAGGGGTACTCTAGGGGGTGATGGAACAAGGAAGAACGTTTTGATTAAGACGTTATCTTCAAGATGTGACGCAAAATGGATCGAATCATTTATTAACCTTTTGATACAAATCGTGTTGGAGAGGCGGGTATTAATTTACACATTAAATTACACAGTTGTGGAGCTTTTTTTAAATGCCTCGAGAAGTGATTGTTTCGCTCGTTGAACAGCCTTGTGAAGATAGCCTTGATGTTGATTGGTAAATTTAATATTCAGATTACACCGCAAGAATTTTTTAATGTATGCATTCCTTTACATTGTTTATAATATGGGGGGGGAGATAAACAGCAGGGGAAAATGCAGATATTTGAAATATTCAAATGAGTGCATATCAAGGACTAAGGAATAGTTTTTAATTTAAATAGAAATGGCTTTTCAAGGATTAATATTAGCATCATTTTTCAACATATGCTAATGCTTTATTCAAATTATAGTAATTACGTTTTGGTGTAGAAAGTATGGATTCCTTGTATTAAATTATAACTTTTTCGAGATACTAAACCCAAACAAAATAACTAAGACTCGAAACATTTGTTTCTGGCATGTTGTTTAATCATTTAAATAAAAAATTAGTCTTTTGCATAGATAACAATAATTTTCTCACTATTTAATATTTTGCATTAAATATTTTATTAATGTTAAATAAACATATCACGATGAGCTTTTAAAAGAATTTTATGATATTTATGCTTTTAAAAACAAATAAATTTTCCACTTAAAAAATCAACCCGGATAGAAATTTAAATTTAAGTTATTGAATATGCCTTTTTAAGTGATAGAAAAATTGATGAGAAGATTTTTAATATCATGTGAATATATGAGGAAATTCTCAAAAGATTTTCTATCTTTGAAATATTCTTGCTATTTTTAATTATATTGAGCGCAAGAGTTTTATATATTTTCATTTAAAATAAGTACTATCTGTCATTAAATAGAAATAATGCATATTGAACCAGTTGTAAATTTATATGTTAGCTTAATATAGTAAGCGCTATTTAATCCGGCATGTTCGAGACCACGATCGACCGGATTAGCGATTTTGACGTATTATCGAGCGTCAATATAGTTTTAAAGAAGATACCAAAGATATATAAATAAACAACTTTAAGCATAAATTAAAAAACGTATTTAATGTGTTTACGCACATTCTGATCCTGTACAGACCATATAAATATCCAACAAAGTATTTGTCTCATTCTATAGCAACTACAAAATTCGATTCCTACTTTGAACATTAAATTAAATGAATATTCTTGCATTGATAACAATTACAGCGAAAAGAATTTATACAGCACAATGATAGTTCAAACAAGTTGTGACGAGTTACTCTTGTCACACGCTTACGTGTTTTATTTGCACTTGAAGAACACCTTTTGGGTCTCGAGAACATTTTACTGCACAGAACACAGTATATACATTATTGCTCTACATTCTGGAAACGTGATACATTACCCTCCAAATAACAAGAAGCATTGTCCTGAAATATAAACCGACAGCTATGATAAACACTGTCCGAAAATGCGAGCAGCGCTGTGTCGCCACCTGGTGGTCAAGGTCAACACACTTACTAATAGATACTAAAAAATACTAAAGCGAGCAGATGCCGGATTATAAAATGCTCTGAACCACCGTATGCCGGACTTAGAAAAATTACTGTAATTCTCAAGTTTATGAGATGAAAATAACACGTTACAGGTATAAATTCTTATCAAACATTGAAGAACAGTTTTGTGTTTTTAAAAGTTTTAAATAATTTCAAAATCATTATCCTTAACAATGCTTAGCAAGTAATTTAAATTTTCTTGAACATTGTGCCAAATAATTTAATTTACTGCTTAAACTATGACTGTCATTTATATGAATAAAATGCTTAAACTATTTTTTCTCAGCACTTTATTTTTCATGACTGTCAACTGATTTAAATACTGAGCTTTTTAGTTTTTTGTTAAAAAAATTTCTGTTTGTTTTGTTTAAACTATTTGTGCTAATTTTGTGCAAGGAATAAGGATTTAGATATATAGTAATTTTATTTAAAAACTCAGAATTACATATAGATATTTCTTACTGATTTACTAATAGCCACGGTAGTCCAGTGGTCTTGGTCACGCGGCGTTGTTTTCGTTTGACGTGTGTTCGAGTCCTGATGGCACTACAGACCCGTGTTTCGGAGCTGATGTACGTTAAATATGGTCATGTCTCCATGTTTTCTCGTGGTGTGGAAATTTGGAAAGGGAGGTGCCATCCGAGGTGTTATCCTCGTCACTTGACTGAAATTTCAAAATTACGGGGCCCGTGGCCAATAGCCCTCGCGTTGCTTCTCAATGCAAAGTTAATAAACAAACACAACTGTTTTACGTAGTGTCTGATACAAAATAAAATATTTTGTAAAGCTATAGACAACATTTGTACAACCCAACCCAAACACGGAATTGGGGGAAAAACTTCTAAAAAAATGAAAAAAAAAATCGTTTAAAAATAATAAAATTTGTAAAAGTTTTGAAATGTTAAAATATTCTGAAAAAAAATCAAATTTTAAGCAATTGTTTATTTAGAAACGAATTTTTTTCAGAAATGAAACTTTTATGTGTTTAAATATTGGAATAAAAGCTTTTCCATAGTAAATATTCAATTTAAAAAGTTGCTCTGCGGGTACTGAATCCTTAAGTCAACATCCAAAGTTTGATTTACACAGCGAATTCAAAAAAAAAATTTAAGGATGATTCATCACAGACCATATAAACCAGAGAATATATTTACGTTTGATATTAAGTTTCTAGATTTTCTCCTCACAAATCAATACAACATTTTGCCCGAGTGTACGGAGATCCATCAACGCCATCTGAACGCATCCACTCCAAAACTATTTTGCGATGACATCGCGGCTTCAGTCTCCTCCATGGACTCGTACCGATGCCCCTCCAGTTTCAAATTGAAAAATAAAAATATTAAGGGGGAGACAGATCTGGAGACTAGGGAGGGTGATTGATGAACACAACCTGCTTTCGCGCCAAAAGATGTTGCAAAAAAGAGGGAATCGTGAGGAGGTACATTGTTGTGGGAGAAGCACCAATTTCCACTGTCCAACAAATCAGGCTTCCCACTCCGCATTCCTTTCAAAAGTCAAACCAAAACATCTTTGAAGAATACCCCAGTCGCAATGGAACCTTGACGATGAAATTCTGTTGCACAAGCTCAACATTTTCATTATTTCTATTCAAATACTAATCTTCCGTCGCCTTCGGTTGAGTCTCTTCCAACTTTCCACCCCAAAAACCAATCAGATATCCCGGGAACGACTTATACCTCGTGACAGTTCACAGATTTAATAATTTTGTATGTTTCTGTAGCCGATTTTCCCAATTTAAAACAAAATTGGATGTATGTTCATTGTTTTATTTTTTTCGAAGACAATGACTCACATACTCACTTTAAGCAAAGGAACGGTGCTAAGTCAGAACTAGACAGAAATGAACCACTTAGTACCGTAGCTGAAGGTTGTTGTTATATCATCCGGTTGATTGTGTCCAGATAGTGCCATTTGCACTTTTTTAGGAGGAGGCATCCAGGAACTTTTTGAACGTACTATGTATAAACAAAAACAGATAGCCTAAAAGTTATCTTAAATTAAGAAATTATGTAATTTCTTCATGAAATTTCCGAGTTCTGCATCCCCCCTGTCATAAAGCTCTGTTAGCATAATGCTTGAAAAATGCTAGATTTATCTTTTGCCTATTGTTAATAGTTTACAGTAGACTATATATAGGCCGAAGAAAGTCTTATTTGAGCTTCATAATTTTCTTAATGCTACTGAATTAGTTAATTTTTTTCAAGTGGTGGTTAAGCCAATGCTAATGAATGCGTGGAAATTTACACCAGGCAAAAATAAAGACACTAAATGTACATGACTCTGAGAAACTTATTATGCATTGTATACTTTTCTTTCTATACTATAATCGATTGTATTGCTTGATCATCTAATTACATGTCATTTAGGACAAGCAATCTAGAAAAGTTTTTTTTCTTGCATATTTT